CAGGCATGTCAACCGGACGGTTGTTAGAGGGTTGTCCGATCGAAGTGGTACCCTGAATGGGGTTTTGTCGTCGGGGGCCGGCAACTGGGCGGCGGTACGGTGGGAAGATGGCGATGTGAAGAGCGACGCGAACGGAGTGAAGACGGCAGGAGGCAGCAAGTGATCACTGATCGTGGCTCGGACGTGTCGGCTTCCGATGGACTCTGGCAGAAGCAAACCGGTACATTTGGCCGCTGAGGCCCGGGCCAGTGTGGCCTGTAGGGCCCGGAGCAGAGGCAGTCGCTTCTTCCTCTTTCTCGGCTTCTGGTTGCCTCGGTTGCGCGAGTCCAGGCGACCGGCCGGTCAATGCAATTGGCCCACTCGAGACGGAAGTTGTCCTGTTCATGCTCACGCAACAGCCGGAATCGACACAACTGCGCAACTTCAGTGCAGGGAGGACTCAAAAACGTCATGTTCTTGCGACAATGAGGCAGCCCAAAGTAGGTACAGTTCTGGCGTGTGCTTTCTGTGAGATTTTCTCCTCGTGTCTGTCTCTCAATCAATCAACAATCCACTCAATAAGTCAATCGGTCAACAGACCGGCCGGCGGAAATCTCGAGAAGTTTAAAACGGAATCGTCAATTGGTGTATTTGACTAATTAGTTGATAAGATCCAAAAGAAGACTTATTGAATTAGTTAAATACAAATTGAAAAATACAGTAAATTATAACTAAAATAGCGGATAAATATGTCTATATGGTAGAGGGAAAATATAAATTTATTTAGGAGACATTATTATTTATCAGTTAGTTGGTGAAAATTGTAGTTTTCATGGATTGATGAAAGAAAAAGTAGAATAAATGATTAAGATATAATGTGAAATGGTGTATATATGCTTAATTATATTAAAAGTGATTAAATAAAATAGAGTTGTTTTGATATAACTTGACATTTAAAGGGATGCCTTTCACTCATGGCGGAATTGCATAAACTAGAACCGATGATTGAAACCGATTTAGAAGAGGCACAGGCAAAAATGTCTCGTAAGGCGGAGAAGTAATGAACAAACAACAACAGCTAACAAATTTAATCCTAGAAAATAATTATCATTTGGGCTTTATCGAGCATAATATCTCTTTACTGAGGAATAAATTTACAGATCGAGACCATTTAGTCGAGGATAGAAAGACTGAAATAACATAAAGAATAAGGATGAGTGTAGCTTCCATTATTAGACATCTTAACCTATCCATGAGTAC